AAGATCTTTTTGTGGAGCAAGGTTGAACGTAGAATTGAGAGAATAATAAAATAAGAAACGAGTACTAAGACCCGTTGACCTGCCCCCAAGCAGTAGAGAGTAATTTCTGTGAAATTAAGCGCAAACATATCTATTATGAACATTTCCGTATAGTGAACACTTTTGAATACTTCATTGGATGTTCACATTAGAGAGGTTTTACTATATTCAGCGAAGTACACTAGCATTAGGAATCGCGGCAATAGAAAGCAATAAGATACTATACTGGTCTACAAATTCTAAATTTTCGAAACGAATCTATTTTAAAGGCTGATCTCAATCAAAATCAACCATGAAAATCTTTCGAAAGGACTCAGAGTCACTTTAAACAGGCATAATGTACTAGATTTCAGCGAATCGTTTGATCCAACGTTCGATTGCTCGATTAACTTCGTCTGGCTTTTCTTCCATTAGCCAATGGCCGGCTTCTAATTCGAGCACTTCCAAATCAGCAATATACTGTTGTTGACCGGCAAACAAGGCAGCCAGACACATAAAATCTTTTGTACCGGTAAAGAAGAGAACCGGACATTGAATCACCGGATCGAGGTTTTTCTCATCATCCCAATTAATATTTTCGATAGCTGCTTTGTACCAATTCAATTTTGGTTGCATTCCTTCAAGAAGATTTTCACGGAAGTTCGCGTAATCATCTTCGGTCATATAGGAAGCTCGAGTTGTTCGTCGTCTATTCACCAGCCATTCTCGAGCTTTACCTATCGGAGCAAAATCACTTTTATGTTCTTCCGGACTATTTGAAAATGCAAGATCAATAAAGCTATCCACATTGTTTTGAATAATTGTTGCTGCATCGTCGGATTCAAAAAATTTCCAATAGCCGAAATTTTCGTAGCCAAATGCTTTCTTTGAAGCTTCCAAGGCTTGATTAAGATTAAATTTTGCCGGTGGTCGATAACCAACACTGACGAGAACGAGACTCAATGCTCGCTCGGGATGATATAACACAAATCGAATCGCCGGCGCAGTGCCCCAGTCGTGTCCGACCACAATAACTTTGTTCAAATGTAAATGATCGAGAAGCGCAATAAGATGATCGACCATGGATTTCATCTTATATTCATCTTTATTCAAGGGTGAGTATGTTTTTCCATAGCCCATCATATTTGGTGCTAGACATCCGTATCCTTGTTCAGAAAAATGTTTGATTTGATGGCGCCAACAGTGGAATGTCGACGGGAAACCATGAAGAAACAAGAATGTCGATTTTGAATTGCTGTTCGCTGGGACATGGAGATACTCGTAATTGATGCCTTTGGCAACTTCATAGTTCTGTGTTTTAAACATCTCGAAGTAGCGATTCGTTCGCGGTCGTATGGCTTTAACGATGTGATAAGGTTACCAAATGTGAAGACGGTAATAAAAAAAACTATGCAGCGAGCTCCGTATTCATCGACAAGCATTATATTCGTAGATAAATACGCGCGACGTGTAACGTGCAGAACACGAAAAAAAACAGCTGCACATGGTTATAGGTATGGTCTGTTTTTTTTGTCGTCTATGTTACCTTCTATTGTCAACACTATTATAATCTCGTCGTCATTTTACTCTGGATGCATAACTGGTACGTGGTCTAACAAAATAAAGCGAGAGGAACAGGGCCATCGCGAAAGTCAAAAGGCAGGGAGAGGGGGCGAACAATGTGCTAAATTTTTGAATTTTTGTTCGTTCTGCGAAGTCAGGACACGACCGTGTTCTGCTGGAGAAAATCAAGTTTTTCCAAAAGCAGAGGGGCCGACCGGGCCCCTGTGGTCCTATGTCGTGACGGCCCTGGGGAGGAAAAATAGCAAACTTTTGAGAGTAGATGAAACTCAAAATGATTGGGTGCGATTTTAACAGAGTATGAAGCCATTTTTCCTGAGTCTAAATTAATTAGAATGAACCCGGAGAGATGTATTTTTTGAAAATTTCGGCTCTTAATTTTGAGTTTCATCGAGTTTTACAGTTTGCCTAAGATTCAATGATTCATCCCTGTTTGGTCACAGACCAAACTGGTTCGCATATAAAGTGGACGCAAGAAATAAGATAATCTCGTCGGCACTCATTCTTACAGAGCGAGGATAAATGAAATATAGTGCATAGTATTCTTTGGTACACTCGTTCGATATTCTAATTAATTATCGTTCAGTGTTCAATATCGGCTGATAGATTCTAGTCGAATTCTAATCAGAGCACACCGCATGTTGCGCAATTCACTCTTTCAACATTCTATTTTGAGACGAAATAGTACAAACAAGTTTTACAATGCGTTCTCATGTTAATGAAATCAATCGTGACATTATCAGCTTGACCACGAATCATTATGAGTTCCTCAACTAAATCTCAACAACTTTATATAGATCGACAGACTAAATAAGTCTCTCTCAAACTCGATAGATGATTCTGATGACAAGTAATGTAAAGAAATATCTGCCTGCTTTTTTTTTGAAATGGGCCATTAGATACTAAAATGATTGTAAGACAGTATATGACATGTTTTAGCAATATCTTTATTTAACCAATTATGAAAATGATAGTGGAAATATATCCTAGCATGTTTCATTGATTTAGTATATACATTGTTTAATATATTTTGTATAATAACCCATTTACTTTGTAATATATAAAAACAAATTATAATGAATTAAATAGGCTTCTTTTGTTTATTAAATTTAAGAAATAAGAAATATACAAAAAAATGATTTCTTTGAACAGGCTTTTACCGATAAAATGAAAAAAGTTGCCCTCCGAATGCCTTATTTTAAAGCTTTTGAAACTCATTGAAGATGCTTATTTACAATTAACTTTTATCGAATATGAAAACGAAATATGAATTATTGTTTTTCTATGATAGATATTCTTTTAATTACCCACGGAAAAATTTTTATACGAAAACTGTGGGTTATGGTACCGGTGCTAACCGGGATATTTGGGACAGCGGGTACGAGTGCAGACAACGCGAGTGGTTGTGGACGNTTATACGAAAACCGCGGTTTCATCGCACACCACCGCGGTGTCAATTCGATAACCTCGGTTCACAGCGGTTTCTTGCACCGCGTTCACAAAGAATCGCGGTGTGTGCACTCGTAACCGCTGTTTCAAATATAGCGGTTATCACCGGTTTCATAAACCGCGGTTTATTATATCATAACGGCGGTTTCACATATAACGGTTGTTAGTAGTTTTTTCCGACCCCGGTGTGTGCAGTTATAAGTGCGGTTAGTCTGGTTAGGATGTATGAAATGGCTATCGATTTCAATTACGCTGGCTTACGTTCAGTCATGATTTAGGTTGATTTAACAGTTGATGCTTGATTGAGGTGAACTAGTTGAGTATGTGT